CGGGGAGAGTGTGTGTGCGGGGGGAAGGCAGACATACAGACAGATTTAGTTCTTAGCTAGCAACTTGTCAGTGTTAGCTCTTGTTATTCTGTTTTACACATGGACCTGTCATATCTCTGAATTGCTTCTAGATTAGGGAATCAATAGGAAAGCAGAGTATTTCTCAACTCTGAGAATTATAGTTAGTTCTACAAATGGGCAATTTTTAGGCATTGCAGTAGAAACAACAAAATACACTACCTTTGTCAGTGTTTGAGACACAGCTCAGGCTTGAGTTCTGGGACAGTGAGTAGTTTACTGTTGTGATTTCAATTTTTTGTCATTGTTTTTTGGGGTCTTTTGTTTCAGTGTAAGAAAGAAAAATGAAAAACAATCCACCCCACCTGAAACCAGAAAGCTGGGGCATACTTAGAAAATCAAATCATAGAATCATTTAGGTTGGAAAAGACCTTTAAGATCATCAAGTCCAATTGTTATCCTAACGCTGCCATTGATACTTCCACAAGCATTGATACTTCCACAATAGTTGCACAAGCTCTGAGCTGGGCTTTTGTAAATATACACTTATGCACTTGCACTGGGATTTTGATCTGCAGCTGTAGCTGATTTCAGTCCACCCAGAGAAGTAAACTTGTACCTCTTCACTCAGAGGCTCCTTTGACTATGAGAGCGAGCCAGGCTTTCATGTGCGTTTGCCTCACAGTATGGAGTGCTTGTCTTAGAGCAATTCCAAATCTATCTGCACAGTAACATGTTCCTGTAAGATGTTTTGGTTTATTTTTAGGTGGTAGATCCAATAATCACTTCTGTGCAGTGAACCAAGAGGATCTCTAGCAACTCTAACCTGGCAGGCAAGAAGGAGCAGCTGCACCTTGTTTTATTAGCTTTCCTCCTGCATTCCAGGAGACGTGAGAGGATGGATCCTCAGTTCAATGTGCAATATGATTTATTTAAAAGCAGGCAGTGAAGAAACAGAATAAAGTGGGAATCTGTAATTCAACCTGTTTGAGCAAAGATAGAAAAACAAAACCTGTATGTACAAGGCATAAAATAAGTACATGGCCCACAATGAACTTCGCAGCCTTGGAGCAGACAAAGCAGCTTGTTGCTCTGTACTGCTTCCAGAGTCAGTCTGGAATATGTAGTAGTGGGAAGGTGGTTGAGAGCTGTACGCTCTGAACAGTATGCAGTGGAGATGCTTTGTAAAATGAAAGGGGTTTATCTCCCCGTGCAAGAGTATCACTGTGCTGAGCAGCACTGCAGCAAGGCAGAGGCATCCTGAATTGTACGATCTACCATGCCAGGAAACTCCTGGATTCTTCTGCTACCTCTTAGGCTTTGAATCTGCAGAGTATCCTAGCTCCTAACAAATAACCTTGTGTATAGCCCCGCTGATTAGAGGACCTAATTGTCTAAGTATTTTCTGTCTCTTTCATTCACAGAACCTAAGTGTGTTAAAAGTTTTTTCCCTCTCTATTGTTCACTCAGGATTCACTCTGCCTGTCACAGAGGAGCATGTTTAGAGTGGTCCAGCCATACTGAAACTGCAGAACCAAATTCCAGCTGCCACAGTATGGTAGCTGGCCTCTAATGTAAGATCCGGACGTAAGATTTATGTGGGGACATTCATTTCAACATTTTTTTAATAGAGGCTATCTATTTGTGTTTATATTAGACCACTAACTTTAATAACACTTTTTTTCTTCCCCTGGGGCAAGTGTATCATTTGGCGCACAAGATTACAGCTTGCAGTAAAATCTGCACAGCTTCTTAAAGTAAAAATTCTGGGGTTTTTTAAGAAGTAGATTAATAAGGATGATCATAATTACATGTGTATATACATAGGCACATACAGACTCAGAAATGTTCTCTTTGTATCTTGCTGACTTTATCTAAGTCAACAAGAGCTAAAGTAGAAAGCCAAGTGAGGAAGCAGAGCATTACCTGCTTTAGGTGTTTGGTACAGAACAACGCTGACTTCGGTGGATTGGTTCTAATTCTTACTGCAGAAGGGAGACCTGCTGGACCGACCAATCGATGAGCCTATTCTGCCTGGACAGATACCCTGGAGTCTGTTTTGTTTCCTTTTTTTCTTTTCCAGCTCCTCTAGGATGTGGTTAATTCTACAATGTTGCAGTGTGGCTACAGGGGCACTTACTGTTTGTGTGAAACTGGAGGGAAATGGGTGGTTAAGTCTGCTTCAGATGTAATTAAGTCTGAAATGTCTCAGTGGTCACATTAGAAGCGCTAATTTTAAGCTCTCATTGGTTTAAGCCATAGCCATTTGTTACATAAAAAGGCAAAGGGAATTTTTTGTCCTTCAAATGCTTTTCTGTGGGAATATGAAAAAATAAAAAAAAAAAGTGTTCTTCAAAGCATCAAGACAGTAATACCCACTACAGACTCCTTGTCCTGCCAAAACAAATTAGTTAAGAAACTCCAAACCATTGTTTTGAATGGAAAAACTATCTAATCATGCTTTTTTGTCCATCGCTTGAACAAATCATGCCTGCAAGTTCATCTTATGGGTGACTATTTCACTATTTGTGTTCCAGAGGTGGACTTGTAATGTCAAGTTAGTCATGCAGAAGCTTAAATTTAAATTATACTCAGGAGTGTGTCTTTTCAGTATATTTCTCCTGGCAGAAAATAGTTTAAGAATTCATTTGCTCCTACCTTTACATTGCAAGTTTCCATGCCCATGTATATATTGATGCAACTCTTTCTGCGTTGTGTGTGTTGCAACCAGTTTTGATTAAATGAGATGGATTTGAAAGTACAAAAGCATGAAATAAAATAAATGGGGGGGTGGGGGGGAAGGGAAGTGGAAGTAGCTCATGTGGAATTGTTGGTAGGAGTATTTTTGTGACACTTGGTCCATCAGTGAGAACAAATAAAACACCAGACACAAATTTAGCTTAAATAAATGGAACTGTGTCCAAAACTAAAATACCAGAACTTCTGTGTTTTGAAGTAGCTGCGGGGGAGAAGTCTGTTTTATGCATTCACTCCCAATGACCTTTGGACACAGTGCTTATGTCATGGAAGTTTGATGGTTCCCATCACAAAATATATGCTCTGGGCTGTTTTGGCTCAGCAAAGTGCAGAATGCGTATGAAGACATTTAAAACTGACGCAGGGCACTGAAAAATTGCTGTGAAGGAATGGTCCATTGCAAACATTAATAGATTCGGGTGGTCAGTGTCTTTGCTGGGGATGCTTGTGGAAATGTTTCAGAATCCTCCAGTTTGGAAACATCCCTTGTCAGGCAGCAGAAAGCCTAAGGGTGAAGAGACTATTGCTGAGAAATAGAAACTGAGCTCCTCCCTCGGTAATTAGCAGAACAGCTGAACCAGGAGAATGAAAAGTGAAACCATCATTGTCACTTCAGGGATTTCGACAAAGTTGGTGATAAACAGCAATTTGAAGTTTTACCTGAGTTTGAACTCCAAGATGGCTAAACTTCCACAAATTGTTATTCTGCTCATTCACCCTCCAGCTTTCTGCTGATTCAGCTACAGCAGCTACTGACTCTAAACACAAGTCAACAGGCGGTGAACAGACTGTCTGCAGACTGTGCTGTAGCATGCCCACCACTGAAATAGGTATGTCATTTCAAAGTTATTTCAGTTCAAAGTTGCTCTTTTATTAAACCACCTGTGGAAATGTATTAAAACATCTATTTATTCCTTTTTTATGTGGTGTTTGAATTCCCAATAAACTAGATAGAGACCTTTTATATTAGCTAGCTTTGAGCCTGTATGGGTTATGTCGATGCTAACTTTGACCAATGCTGCTAAATGGCCTAATTTCCCCTGCCTTGCAGCCTTCACAGAAGTTACTTTCACCTTCATATGACAGTACATGCTGGTGTGGTGATACCAAAATGTTCACTTGACACAGGTTATGGAATTAAGCCTAAGTATCATAAACAGAATTGAGTTGATAATGTTACATCTAATAGAAAGACAGCCCTGCAAAAGTGCCTGTAAAACCCAGCTCTGTAATCTTACAAATACTTGAAAGAGATTAATCCCTCAGCCTCCAGGTGGTGGCAGCTTCTGTTCCCCTTCGCTCCCCTGGCAGAACTGAATATATTTCGAAGAAGACAGCACTCCCAAAAGAATATGAGTGAGAATGGCAAGTAAATTGAATGATAAACAACTGGAAAAATGTAAGAGGCGTAATCAACAACAGCAGAAGTCAGGAACTGACTGTGTCTAGAAAGCCAGCCCTGGGGTTTATTAATTTCTAGAGCATTCTGCACACCTGTGTTGTTGCTTCTCCTGTAGATCCCTGCTGTTCCTTCACACAGTTCCTCAAAGCCTCTGACAAGTTTGAGTGACGGGGTGTGTGTGTGTGTGTGTGTGTGTGCTTTGTTTCCCCCCCACCTCCTCTCCACAGTGTTAACTTCCTGAATTTGGTGCAACAGAAGCAAAGACTTCATGGAAGAAAGTTTAAGAAATGAGTGATTTTATTTCTTTTAAATTAGGAACTAGACAGACTAGATTTCAAGGAAAATTATTATTTGTCTTTTTTCTGGAAATTTTCCTACAAATGCCTGCCATCAGATTACTGAATGAGCATCCACTCAGCTGATAAATTAAAGACATGTCATCAGTGTAACCTCCAGAAACTGAGAGAAGGGTATTTTTAGCTGTTGAGAGAGCTTAGATGACAAAGGTCTGAGCAATCTAGGAGTCAGATATACTAACATTCATTCAGTATCTTCCCCTGTCCACGAGGACAAGGCTTTTTGAAAAAAAAACAAACAGTAAAGCAAAGGAAGCCAACTGAAGTCTGGAGCCAGAAGAATAGCTATTGAAGCTTTTCAGAAAACAGCCCTTTGATACCACTGACATCCTTGAGTTTCTTTCTGAACCTTTCTTGCTGATCATCTTACTTGAGCTGTTTGGTCTTCTGCTCTCTCACTCCAACCCTTTGTTTAGCTAAAGTACTTTGCCATGGTTTCCCAGAAAGGAATCAATCCTAACCAAAAAGTACTTGGAGCACATGGGCACCCTCACATTGGTATAGATCTCCTTGTCTTTTGTGCCTTCCCCCAGTCTGGGTCTGTTCCGCCTGCTTAGATGGGACACTACTCATACAGCACCTAGCAGTGACCCACATTGGTTTTGGGGTCTCAGACCTTCTCTAAGAAACAGTGCTCTGAGTGACCCAAGTGGGAGGGAGGATGGAGTGGAGGAGAAGATTGAAACTTTCATTTCTTTTTGTTTTCTTGCAGGTTTGTGGGTGTGAATTGATGATGGTGTGGAGCAGTAATGGAGGAAAGGGAGAGGACAGAGCGAGGGATCTGTGGACATCATGGCGAAGAGAGGAAGCAGAATAGTAGGAGAAAAAGGACGATGTCTTATTTAGATACAGTAGTCAGAATATGCAGGTTAGTGTTGGAAGCATCCTCCTATATGTTCAGTGTGCCCAGAAAAGGGAGGAACAGGTATTTTATGCCAAACACAGATTCATCTTTGAGCCCAACTCACTCGGACTGTTTGATATCTTGTCTTCTAGTCACTGAAGGCAGGTCACAGCATCCTTGGGAGAGAATGTGCATTGGATGTTCAACTTTCAGCACAGAAAGGGAAGCCTTAGTAGCCCTGGGAATAGTTGAACATATGACATTCTCTTCTAGGAGTAGAATTCATTCAGCTTCTCACCCAGGAAATGTTCATTTATGCTGTTTACTTAGGCAGGCACCTCCTGAGGGCACAGTTTTGGCTGACCCATGTAACCAGTCACATGCCATTCTCTGACAGCACTTGTTCTTTATCAGTCCATTAAGCATGGGCTTTCAGCCAGTGAAAACATCAGATATTTGGCAAAGCATTTATAATTAGTAAGTGTTGTGGCAGAATAATGGAATCTGAGGTCTCAGAAACCATCAAGTGTGTCTGTTTCCAGCTGATAATCCCACGGAGACAACAAAATGTAAAGTGAAGAATATCAAATCGAAGGAGGCAGTATGCAGTGTTTGGATTTACTGCAGAGTATCTTGCAGCAATCCAGACTCTTTCCAGAGTTTGATACTCAGTGCCTGAAGACCTTGCAGAGAGGATATTTTTCCCCCCTACCTTGCCTGTGTTTTACAGGCATTGCCATGCCATCTTGCCTGTACCATTTGTTCCTGTCATGTTCAGAAAGCTTTTTGTGTTTTGACAAGAGGTGCGCTTAGGGAACACGTTTCCATAATCTTGAAATAGTTTGACAGTGAGCATGCGGTCACATTGTCAGGACGGGAGGCAGACAGAGGCTTGAATTATGCTTTCTCTGGGTGTCTAGGTGTAGCTGTGCATATTTCCACTCAGTCTCACCAACTATAAAGTGGGATTCTCCTTCGTTTGTTTTGGCTGATGATCTAGGAACTTTCTGGCCAGCCATCAGCCACTTTCTGCTTTCAGGCATGGGATATCAAGACATGGCCACTTTGTCAACCACGTTTTTGTCATTCACTCTCTTGGCATGCATTTGAGAAGCTTTCTTTGGCATCTTCCATGTCTTGTAGCCTGTTTCCTAAGAACTGGCTTCCAAGCTTTTGACATTCTCTGGCTAGATGTCATCTTCCCATAGCAGAAATTCTTCTCCCCTCACATCACTGTCTGTTTCGTATTGAGAGCTAGCCTATACAGCTCAGATGAAAAGTTTTTATGCACTCAACTTGGAGATTGAAGACAGAGTGCTCCAGTGGTTCAGTCCATGAAGGCAATGCTACCCCTGTTGAGCCAAGTGGGTTGTCAGTGTTTGAGATTTGGTTTATTTTATACTTTTTCTAGAAGGGTGCAAAGAACTGAGGAAAGGACTTTGTCTGTGAACTTGTTTACTAGCAAAAAGGTTCAATATCTCCATTCTGTGAATAAAGAATCAAGTGACGGCAGCATGATTCTGTATCAGCTTCAGCTGGTCTGCTGTGGGTTCTGGCAGTCCTTTCTCCCTGGCATCTGTACAGCCCTGCCTCTCCACTCCTTTGCATTTATAATATTGCTCCTGTGACTGTGGTGAGGGAGCTAATCTGTCAGAGCCTGAACTCTGACTGGAAGAAAAAAAAAATCCCAAATAATTTATTTCTTCTTACTTTGCCAGACCTTTCATTCTAGAGGCACATGAACTTTACTGCTGGCACAAGAGAGGTGGGGAGGAAGGGACACAGGCACAGGACCACAGCACCACAGCATCTTGGCTGAGATTCACTTCAACTTCTGTGAAATCTGACTCAAAACTCTCAGCATGTCCCAGGCCCTGGGTGCCAGGCACGTGCTTTCTGTGAGCTACAGTTGTAAGTACTACTGCTGCCTCTTTCAGCTGCCGCCTTATCTCTATAATGAAACCTATTATTCATTCTGCGACTACTGCATCAGTATCCAGTTTAAGGAAGCCCTTCAGAGCTGTAACTTAGTCCTTGTCAGGACCTGGTATGTGCAGGAGTACTGTGGGCTGTAGCCTCCTTTTGTTTTTATCTATCATACAAATATCAGCATACAGAGGGAAAAGATTACTTCTTAGTCTGAAGTATTGAGTGAAAGGTGTTGAGCAGATCTGTGGGATTTGCACTGGCTAGGGATCAAAACTGTACTTGCAAGCAGTCCTTAATGGCATGATGACAGTATCCTTCCTATTTAAAACAAAGGGTTCAGATCATATGAAACTGATTTCTTCTAAATGCCTAGAAGGGGGAAAGGGAGGGGAGGGGCGAAGGAGAAAAGCAGAATGCCTTATTTTTGAGTCATTATATCCAGTATCAGAGCCAGCAGAGTCTGTACTTTTCTGCTTTTTGTTTTCATTTCATTTGTTCTTTGGAGCATGAGGGATGATCTAGAGAGGGGAGATACTGGCTCAGCAGATGCAGGGTATGCAGTCCAGGCACTCAGTTCCAAGCAAAAATTATCATTTCTCGAATGCTTATTTCCGCACTAATGCAACAGGCATGACAGGGCTGTGCAGTTATGTTTAGGCTTTTCCATCTGAAGTCCGGACAGTGTCTCCATCTGTGTGTGGCCCACAGAATCCAGGCCCAGCACATGTGAAGTATGCTGAGGCACAGAGCACCCCCAGGCTATGCTGCCACAGCAGCAGCAAATAAATTGGAATAAGCACTGGAGATGTCTGACAGGTCATATGAATATTTTGCAAAATATTAAAATCCATGAGTGGCAGCATGGGCTGAGTACAACTGTTATCAGAGTAGTGCAGGTGATATGATTATAGGCCAGGCTTTTACCATTGTGCCCATAAACTGCACTTAGTGGGTTTTTTGTTACAAATGGAGTGAAGCTTTTTCTCCCTGGTGAGTATTTGGCCCAGTCCTACATGTTAGAGTAACCTCCTACAGAGCAAGCCCAGTTGTGATTTGTAGTGCTGTTTTATTTTGAGGACTTGTGGGAGATTGGCATTAGCACGCTCGATGGGAAAGCAGCATTGGATAGGAAAGGATTGCAGAGGTTTTTAGCAGGGTAATTTCACTACTAGCTGGTGCTGTAGCCCGGATCTGATTAAGCCAGCAGAAAACTAGGCTTATACATTTTCCTTGCCAAGTTTGTAGCTATACCACTTTAACCTTGATATAACCAACAGTCGTGTCAGGGGGGTGGCACTGCAGCTCTAGTGATAAACTTCCTTTTGTGCAGTCTAGGTGTTAACCATATCAATATATAGTTGCAAGACTCTGACTTTGGTGCAGCTGAACTGATCTCAGTGTTGGAGACTTGTTCCTCCAAACTTTTGTCCCCTTCTCCCTCAGCACCAAGCAAGGCTGCTTCTATACAGAAGCTTTTCCCAAAACTGAGAGGACAGTTATTTTTCCACTGAGTGTTTTCTTGCTTACCCGCTGATTGATTTAAGGTGTTCCTTTGTGTCACCACTGAACTGTGATAGCAGCTTTGGGGGTGGGAAGCCATGTGAGTTCTTTTTGCAGCTGTTATGTACGTGTTTGGCTCTTAAAAACTGGTACGATGGTGTTCTAGTAAATGCCTTGGTTTCTATTCATCAATTCTTGAGATGCTGCAGCTGAGTGGAGTCAGTTAACTTTCTACAAAACTGTAAGTTTCACTTTCAGGTTCTTGGATTTACTTCATTTCCCCGATGCAGTGAATGGTAGGGTGCTTGTTTAAATATAACTTTTCTTCTCAAGTTTTGAAACAGAAGTAGTAATCTTAAATCTTTCTGTTTAGTTTAAATAAATAAAAACTTGCTTGCATGAAATAAAAAGGTGGACCTCTTCTGATTTCAACATGCACTTTTTTTTAAGAAAAGACATTTAGAAATATCTACTGCTGTGACATTTTGTAATTGGCTCACAATTTAAGCTAACTTTTGTAGCCTTTTATTTCCCAATAGGAAATTTCTGAGCAAACCTCACTTTGTCCCAGGCCCATCTCCTTGTCTTCCTCCTCACTGCTTATAGGTATAGCCTGATTCACTCTCCTTGAGGGAGTGGGTGGAGATGCTAATGTCTTCATAGTTGTGGGAGAAAGCAGGGAGAGAAAACAGGGGCAGAAGCAGAGACAACTTCATTAAGAGAAAGCAGTAGATAAGCTTTGGGATAAATAATGAAGTAAAAATGATCAGGTAGGATAAAGGGCAAAGACTTATTTGAATAGGGACAACCTTGTTCTGGAAAACGGTTGATGAAGAATGGATCACAGGAGACCAAAAGCTGCAGAGAAATAAATCCACTAGTGCCTAACTATAAATATTCTACCTCTGCTACACTGATAGCATTAGCCATAATTCAGAACTCTGTTATAATCCCACCCTTAGAATCAGATCCAAACGCAGCATGCTGTCTGGAGAGCTGCTGAACTCCACACACAGTATTTAAAATCTGTAGAAGTAAAGCCAAAAGTGATCTCTGTAGTTAAGAGCATCTTTAGGGCCTAACAATTGTTCAGCAGAATCGTGAACATTCATGATCACAGTTTTGAATTTAGGAACCCAAATTCTGCCTTGGTCTCACTTCATAAACCTATATTTCTTGCCCTACATGCTGGTTTTTTTAAAATGTCTCATGACAATGAAAAACCCATCCTGTGAAAGAAAAACATGAATATAAGTTGTGTAAGTCTTTCTGATTTATCAAGTATAAGCTAGGAAAGAGCAAATATGCATAATATATGGTGAGAGGAAGATACTATTACTACCCATCGCCATGCTTCAGTTCTCAATTTTAATGTGCTTTGGAACAAGATGAAATAAATATCTGTATAACATGTAGTTATGACTGAGGGATAGCAAGCAAGTAGCTAGAGAACTTAACCTTATGCTGTAATGCACCATCAACAGCAAGCAGGAAAGGCAATTGTGAATTTCCTTGTATTCAGGTTTTTTCCTCCCCATAAGTTCCTTGTGAAACCCCAGTAAAGAGAGGAACTACAAAATTGAGGCAGTCTGTTAAAACTTTACAATGTTTCTGGCAGTGATACATCAGTATTTATGTAGGAATTATTTTACCAGAAGTACAGATGGGGGAGGGGAGGATACATGCTATATTATTCCCTCACAGAAAAGAAAAATCAATCCATTCTCATAAATAATATACAAAATTCTCATCAAGATGTAAATTCAATACACTTAAGATGTCACCAGGGTTCTAGGCC